ACTTACAATGGATACTGCTCCTTGAGGCTTAAAAGTTTTAGCTTCTTGCAGAAACAGCTGGTCCCCTGAGCACTGGCCCTGATATCCTGTTTTGGGGGGCTTCTTTTCCTTGCAGGGTCCTATGGAGACACCCTTGTGTGTGTTAGTAAGCTTTGTGTGTCTCCACAAACACACAGGCACAGCATGGCAAGATACTCCCCTCCTCCCTCCTCCAGTCTGATATATGGGCAGCTGACTGCTCTCTACCTTGTGATCTTGTACACGACAGGAAGTTCAGGAAAGCCAAGATGCAGAGAGTTGCAGCTGTTTGGTGTCACAATGACTGTAAGTGCTTGGACGAAAATGTAAAAAAATACTTTTCTGCAGAATGTATATTTGTTAGATCTGGAGTCATTATTAAAATGTTTAAGAGATGAATACTAATTTAAACTACTAAATAATCCAGTCATGTGATCAGTGTAAAGGTTTTAGAGAACAATCGACATTCCTAACTTGTAAGTGGCAAACTTCTGCAGCCCACCGCAAATTCTGCAGCCCACCTCCCTAAAAAGGAATTTGACCCCCTCTACTGTTGATAACAATGAGCAGGCTGGACTCTGACAAAAAAAAATCAGTTTTAATATATTACTGTGTTTTATGCCTGATCTGCTATGCCAGATTTCACCTGTGGGTGGAGCTGCAGGTGACACTGGTATTTGTGGTCTGTCCCATGAAAATTTTGGAAGGGTGATCTCCTTGTAGTTGGACAGGATCTAATTTCTCTTGTGGTCCACTTTAATTTGAATACTAAAATTATTTTTGTACTCACTGTAAAACCCTTTTATTGATGGACACTGGAAGTCTTTAACCTTCAGGTTATACTGCTGTTTACAGGAGGATTGAACACTGGCAAAATTGGTCTGTCCAATATAACCCCTTCTGCTACCACCATGCCTCAGTTTTGCAGCAAAGCAGTACCAAGCACATGATCAACAACACAGAGGGGTCGGACCTCTGTGGACGCCAAGAAACAGGCAAGAAAGACAATTTTCTTTCTTGTCCAAAAAAGGACACAGGAAGTCTTTCACGTTCGGGAATATCCAAAAGCAGCCCAACTGAGGGATGTGCAACTAGCGACTGCCTGCAGCTCAAAGAGCTGCCAGAAGGAGCTTAGGCCCGAAGCTGGCATCAGATGAGGCCACAACATTCACCTGGTACAACCTAAAGAATGTGTGAATAGAAAACCAGGTGGTAGCCTTGCAAATCTGGGGAAACGTGGCTTGATGCCCAAAAGCCCAAGAAGCACTCACAAATCTAGTAGAGTCCACCTTGACAGGAAAGGGTGGAACCCAATCCTTGAGGCAATAAGCTTGGGGATGGTTTGCCTGAGTCACCTAGAGATGGTGGAACAAGAAGCCGGAGAACCCTTGTGGGGTACATTAGGGATTACAAAAGGGAATTACAAAGCGGTGCCCCTTCATGCCAAAGAAGGCTTGGCTGAGCATTTGGCGGACTTTATTTCCCTGACCTTAGTGGACTGGCAATTAGGCTGGGTGGAGTCTCGACATGGAAAGCACAGGAGGGAAGAAGCGAAATGGACATTTCTTAACAGATAAAGAAGGAGACAACTTTGCAGTCTGTTCTTTATGCTTTTTCCATTGATGAAGATGGATGCTCTTGCCACCAATAGCATCCTTGATAATGGTATCAAGAGTGAATCCGAAGAGACGTTGGCCCTCAAAAGCCATGCGGATTGGACATTTCTTGGATGCAGGTTCCACGGTCCAGCACTTTGAAGCAAGTGATGCATACTAGACATGTGCGATTCGTTTCGTTACGAATCGAAATTCGGACGAATTTTCGGAAATTCGGACATTCGGATGTATCCGAATTACAGATATATCGAATGCAAACGAATCCGAATTTCCATTTCCGAAATTCATTAGCGGGAGTTTCTTTCAAACGTTCGTTTAGTTTTCGGTTCGTTCGTTGGAGCAAAATGACATTAGAGAAGGAGAAAAAAATGTTTTCCCCCTCAAATGTCACTTTGCTGCAAACGAACGAACGAATGAACGAAACGAATAAGAAACGAAAACGAAAGTTCGAACGAACTACCGCTAACGAATTTCGTCCGAATCCGAATTGACTTTCACACCCGAATCCTGAAAAACGAAATAACACAAATCCGAAACTAAACTAAACGCATTTTTTGGCAGTGCACATGTCTAACATACATAAGCACTGACAGGAGACCAATGTGAGAGATGAACTGGGAAGCCTCTGGGCAGACCATTACAAGTGAAGTTTAAAGCTACAGCCATTTGCTCCAAGCATTCTATAGTCAAAGGAATCAAAGACGGCAGTGGTAAGATCTTTTATGGGATTTTGACCAATCAGCCATGGTTTGGCACAGTAAGGTCACACAGCCAAGATAGGGCGAAGAGTAGGGTCCACCATTGTGAACAGGGTGCTAAAGAGAACTTCCAATCGCTTATTGGTTGGGTCCTTAAAGACAGGTGCGTCCTATACCAGCATGGTAGTCGCTTTGTTAAGGCAGGACACTGTTGGATCTACTTTGGGGGTAGAACACCTTTGCGCAAAGTCTTCCCCAAACAGATACAAGGATAATAAGCACTTGGGGGGAGCAATCAGCTTGTCAATGTGTTTCCAATCTCTGTAGAAAAAGAATTGGAACAGAAGGTGCAATGGGAAAGTCATTGTTGCCTTAAGGGCTCTAAAGCAGTGGTTCTCAACCTGTGTAACCTCGGGACCCACATGTTTCCTTGGTCATTAAGGCGTGACCCAAAAATGATTTCATTTATGAAACATTTTAATTTATTACACAAAACAACTTGTGCAGTATTCAGCAATATATATTTTGCTGAAAGTAAATGAATAAATTTTTTTTTAAAAGTTTATAAAGAATAAAAATTAAATATTTAAAAAAATTAAAATTAAAAACGTGTGGGGGTGGCGGTTGCGGGGTACAGTTCCAGTGGATGTTTATATAATACCGGTCTATGCAGACATGACGCCGCGACCCACTGCAGAGGGTGTCGCGACCCACTTTTGGGTCGCGACCCACGAGTTGAGAACCACTGCTCTAAAGGACCCAAGACTGGAAGCAGCACTGGTAGAAGCAAAAAGCTGAACCTCTAGTTTTAGAGTTGTGCGCACCACATCGATAACCAACATGGTCTTTTATTTATTATTCTCTAAAGGTCCATTATTTAGATGTCAGGAGAAGTCTTCTTAGATATCTAGATATCACTAGAGATTTTAGAAGAAATAGCCTACTTCTAATCGTGGTTAGTGGTTTTAAGAAATGGTTAAAGGCCATAATCCTTCTATACAAAGAAGAAGGATCACAAGCACCACCTTCACTAAAAACTAGGGATGCACTGATACCGATACTCGTATTGGTATCGGTGCCGATGACGAGTATTTGAGCATTCGCATTTGAGTACTCTTACTCGCCCAAATGCTCCGATGCCTAGCCCGATACTTAGGCTCCGGTATCAGGAACCCGGTTATCGAGTCATTACACGCTGCCCGGGTTCCTGATTGCCCGGGAAGCTGACTCCATGCTCCCTCGTCACCTAGTAATATGTATTTCTATATCACATTTCCATAACTCCTAGCCCACTCCTAATAACCATATCGATCTTGAAGTTTGTATATGTACTTATTGAAGATGCCCATAGGAAGTACTTTGTGACTGCAGTTAAACAATTTCACTCAGCCCTGTGGATATACACTTCCGTGTGCTACAACTCTCACAGAGCCTGCCTGTAACGACTCGCTGACCGGCTTCCTGATTGGTCGGGAAGCTGGCCAATCAGGAAGCTGGGCGCTGTGTAATTTTGCATGTAGGCGCATCCGACACGTGTTTGCGTTGTATGTGCATGCACGTGGGGGGCGGGGGACTTTACATTTTTTTAATGTTACTTTAATTTTCAGAATTAACAATCACTTTTATTGCTCCTATGTAATAGCAAATATAATGTGACAGGTCCTCCTTATGGATACATCAGGGGTCTTCTAGACCCCTAATGTCATCTAGGAACCCCAAAGAAGCTGATGAAGCAGAGATCTGCTTCACCAGCTTCTTCTTCTGGCTCTAAGAGCTGGAGACTGTGTACAGCGACACCGGACGTGATGTAATACACAAGGAAGGTGCTGGTGTCTCCTCCGAAATATCAGGGGAGGCCCTCCAAGCCGGGCCCGGGCTCACACGAGGGACAGATGAGCCCAGAAAGCCGCGGTGGCACCGGCGCCTGTACAGATGCCGGATTGCTTATATTTAAACAGCAATCAGCGGCTAGTTAAAACGGTACCAAGATCATGGCTGCAGCAGCTGTGTTCTTGGTATAACCACTTCCAGCGGATGACATACAATTACGTGAACCCGTGGGAAGTGTTTCAAGAGAGAAGCTGATTGGTTGCCATGCACAGCTGTACCAGATTCGATAAATTCTCTTCCATGCTTTTTGAAAAACAGATTTTAGAGACCGTTTTTTACGGCTGTCGTGCGTAGAGCAGCCCTATATGCGACTTACAAAAACACGCATACACACACATTCTGTCGCACCTGTACGGACAAGGACTTTATGTGCTATGCCAGCTTGAGGAATGAGGACATGTATTAGCCAGAGGTCAGAAAACTGAGTGGAAATTTTTCTAGCTACATTGGAACATGAAAAACCCAGCAAGCCTTATCATATGGAGATTATGAATGGCGGACGGTATTTCACATTCATTGGCCTCCTTTGCTAATAAGTAGCAATGCAGAAGCTATAGATATATACACAGCACCGCGTCCTGGCGGAGCCGCTTCACAAGCCAATCACAGCCGCTATTCTTCCCCGTCTCAGCGAATAGAACGCAGGGAGAAGGTGAAAGGGTCCTCAGTCATCCTGCAGCCGGAGGCGTGTGGGGGGCGTGATCACTTTCATTCCGTTCATTGGCGGCAATTCCTCAACCTTGCCTACCATGATTGGTTAAGAGAACTGTTTGTCGCTCGGCACCTGTACGTCACTGAGTGCGTCTAAACAAGGATCCTAGAAGTGGAGGTCAGCAGGGAGGAAGCATGGCAGCCCTGTTAAGGAAGTCTTGCAGTGCTTTGCACAGCTCTGTCAGCAGGCATGCACGCTTTGCAGTGGGTAAGCCTCTTCCTGTGCAGGGGTGATTGTGTGATTAGGGTTGTCATCTGGTGCTCCTATGTATGGTTACAGAACACGTTTATTGAAAGCACATAATGTTAATTATGAGCAATAACATGTATGATGCAGGACTGCTTACCTGTCATCCGTTTACTGTGCTGTCAAATCATCTGGCAGTGTGACTTTTATTATTGTGCACTGATCATGGGGAGGTCTGTTATTATCTATAAGATTTTCATGCTTTATATGACATCATGGAGGTGAATTGAGCACCTTGTAGTCTTCTCAGTAGAATGTATGTGAAGAGAGATACAGAAGTAGATCAGAACCCCAGAGAATGCACAAATGACATATAATGGAGCTGCGTTACCTCTGCCATCCAGATCTAATTACAGCCCAGCCAGGTAGAGGACGCTGATCTCTTGTTATTGTAGAAGAAATACAGTTGCATCCTTTCTCTGCCCTCAGCTACTGATTGGACAGCGATAGAGCAAAAGAAGACTCATGAGGTCATCTCTCTCCTTCTATATGTCCCCGTTCACACTTTGAGCGTGAGATGTATGTGAGGACATTGAGGAACCACCAGTACACCCGGAAAGAAGAGGGGAGTGTCAGAGTGAGAAATAAGGTGAATATTACAGCTTACGTTGGCCATACACTGTTGTATTTTTTTCGTTCAACCTGCGGGGTGGAAAAAAAAATAGAACTGATCCCTCTATCAACAATTACAAGAGTTGATGGAGGAATCCCCACTGTTTCCTTTTGTATTCTGAGAGCGTGCGACAGCCGCTGTCGGAATACACAAACAGTGCTGGCAGCTTATTGGCTTCCAGCGCCATTTGCTCAAAGATTTTCCAACCGGCTCCTTCTATCAGCTGACCGAGCGATACTGGCCAAAAGAGTCCCGACAGCCGCACCCATTGTGTGAATTTCAGCCAGTCCCTGAATAATATATGGCCAGCTTTATTCCTCTTACCCTAGACTTATTCAGCCCTTGCAGTGCAGTGGAGGGTGGCACTGCCAGGGTAGTTTTTGTGTAATTCCCAGAGATCAGCTTTAATAAATCCAGAGCTGCAGTTGTGTTTCTCTTCTATCTGCTCAAAGTTCAGCTTTAAAAGCCAAGATTTTAAGGTGTCTGCTGGACCTTTTTGTCCCCTGGAAAACTATGCACTGTGTAGCCGTCAGTCTTTGCCCTCATTCACACGGGTAACGGCCGGCCTATACAGATCCATGCTGCGTGCACCGCCGTATCAGACAGCTTCCGGGAAGGACAGGTGGATCTGTGCAAGGATCCCCTGCTGATCAGAGTGGTATGGTATAGATGTCACTCTTGTGACATCCTTTTCTGTTCAGTTTTTATCTTCATCTTGTGATGGAGGAAAAAACTGAACTTACCGGACCCACGTTCGATCTATGGGAAGTCAGATGTTAAATGGACATGTTCCAGTTTACATCGGATTACCTCCGATCAGTCATGATCAGGTCCACCAAAACAGGACCCTGTTGCTTTTTAATTTTTCTGGGCCTAGACGGTGTCAGGGATAATCTGGCTGCCCTTGAATTGGTCTTCCAATCAGATCCGCCTGAAAAACGTGACACGTGGATATCAACGGACGCACTTGTGAAAGGGACCTAAACAGTAAGGACCATGTCACCAACAATAGATTTGCTAAAGAGTGTTTACTTGCCCTTATGGTATCGCTTCCTTACTGGCCAAAAGGCTTCAGAATCTCATTGATCGGGAATAGAATTGACAGCGGAATGCTTTCATGGTTTAGCCAGTAAGGATGCAGTGATAGAGTGGTACTTCGCTTATCCGGTCACCAAGGAAGCAACACTTATAGGAAAACGTGTGCATTCTTTGAGCAAGTTGTTAGCGTGACATGGCCATGAGGCAAGATGAAGGCTGGTTTTTATGATAAAGCAAAGTCAGTTTAGTGCTACTGTGTCCGGCTATCACTGTCAAAGACAGCTCATGGTCACAGCTACTACCGTGTTTCCCCGAAAATAAGACCCTGTCTTATATTTTAGCTTGGCTCAAAAAAAAAACACACTAGGTCTTATTTTGGGGGTAGGTCTTATTTTTTTTTTTAATGTATAACAATCCAAAGTTAATGCAAATCCAAATAAAATAATCCAAGATGGCAAAGTTAAGAATATGGTGATCAGGGCAATCAGGGGTGCCATACCTTTCCAAGAGCAATTTGGTAACCAGAATGAGTGAAGAGCGCTTTCACTATAGATTCCTCACAGGCGTTTGTGCATTTGGTATCACTCCACCTGTGACAGGAGCCAGCGCTATAGAGGAAACATCGGCTTATGCGGCTCTGCTCCTTGCGCTGCCGCCTCGCTTCCTCTAGGCTGGCTTAGTTGGCACCGCTGATTCTCTCTCGCGGCTCTTCAAGTTCTCCCTTATGCCACCACCGGCCCTGGGAATGGTCACAACTAGGTCTTATTTTTGGGGTAGGTCTTATATTTTAGCAATTCCCAAAAATGGTACTAGGTCTTAATTTCGGGGTAGGTCTTATTTTGCGGGGAAACGGTATGCAGTGCCTGAGAAGGGGCATACTTCTGTACATGCTAATGTGCATACTTCTGTGGCTAAGCACTTTCCCGAGCACGCTCTCTTGAAAATGCCCATATGGATTCTTGTGTATGCTCAGTTTATGACCTAAATAACTTTTCATCCTGGTGCGTTAGGGCTTATTCACACTAAGTGCGCAGATCTGCGTTTCTTTGAATTGCAGGTTTCCGCAGGGGCACATAGAAACAACTGCCATGTCTACACCACTTAAAGTGAAGAGGTGCAGAAAAACACAGATCTGCTGTGGTGCATAGAAAGGAATGAAATGTCACTTTTGTTTAAAAGTAAACAGTTCCTTGCGTTGTAAAAATACACTATGTGAATTTCGGCTTGGGAATGATGAACCAGACAAAATGTATTATGATTATTATGCATAGGGATGCACCGATATATGGCACTTTTGGCTAAATGTCGAAAGTGCCATTTTCCTGCCGATACATCGGTGCATCCCTAGTTTCTTTCCTCCCCGCTGGGTGCTGCTCTGTATCCCAGCGGGGAGGAGAGAAAGTGTGACAGCCGACCGAGCGCTGCGAGAGGAGAGCGCTGTGAGCGGCCGGCGTCTCTCCTCCCACACTGCTCAGCCTCCTATCACAGTCCGGCAGAGCAGTGTGTGGGCGGAGACAGCGCTGTCACAGGAGGCTGAGCTCTCCTCCTTGCACCACTCGCTCAGCCTCCTGTGACCGTGTCAGCGTGCCAATGCAAACACTCAGCGATCAGTGATCGCTGAGTGTTTGTACATAATTGAGGACATAGTATGGTTATTATATCCTCAATTATGAATGAATGGGAAGAGATCTACATCACCTCCTGTTCATTCATAGTTGTAGTTATAGTAAACACACTTCTGTCCTCATGTTATGAATGAACAGGAACACTCAGTATAACGGATTCCTGTTCATTGATAACAGGGGGCACAGAAAAAGAGATTGAGGACTTTGTGTCCTCAATCTCTTTTTCTATTTTGAAAGGGAAATATCAGAGGTCTGTTTAGACCCCCAATATTTCCCCAAAGCCCCTAAAAGTAAAGTCAAAAATAAAAATATTTAATTAAAAATATTTTTTCAAAAAGGGTTTATAAAAAATATTTTAACCATTTGAAAAAATTTAAATAAAAAACATTTTCGGTTTCGACCTGACAATTTTTTTTACATTTCGGTTTCGTTTCAGTTTTGAAATTTCCATTTCGGTGCACCTCCTAATTATACAGGATTTATATAGCGCCAACAGTTTGCGCAGCGCTTTACAATATAAGGAAGACATTACAATTCAAGACAAGATAGTAAGGAGGGCCCTGCCCTTGAGAGCTTACAATCTAAAAGGGAGGAGCAAGGGATGCAAGAGGTAGTACGTTCTCACAGTGAGTGCTGCTGTCGGCACCCTTTCGGCCAGCATCAGCTGATCGGTTGGAAAATCTTTGAATGAACAGAGTGGGCAGACAATCAGCTGCTGGCTCTGTTCAGGTATTCTGTCAGAATACAATGAAGACAGCGTGAGATTCCTCGATCAACACTCTTAAGCTTTGACGAAGGCATCTGTTATATTTTCTTTGTTCAGCCCGAAGGTAAAACAAAGGAAATTACAGTGTATGAACAGCTGTGTTCTGTGTCCCCAGTGTGGTATTTTCCCCAGAGGCCCAACAGGAAGTAATGGAAAGTTTGTAAATATGAGAGGAAATCTCACAACTGCCAGTTGTCACCAGAACAGGTGACTCCCATTGAAGATTCCCCTTTATAATTTCACCTCCCTTTCTCTCCCAGTGGTAATGGTCCCTCGGACAAATAGTGATGGACACAGACCACATTACATTTTGTGGGCTGCATTTTAAAGGGGGTCTGTAGTGGGCTAATATGGGGAAGCATTGATTCTAAAGCTGTGACCTGTAGCAGTCTCATGTAATGTATCTCCAATGTGTGGCTGTCTCTTGAAGCAGGTCTCTAATCTCCAACAGCTCCAATAGCATGTTTGCAGTCTCTTACTGTCTCCTGTTGCATGAGGGCAGTCTCTGATAATTTCCTATAGTATTACATATACTAAATACTATTTTCGACCCTTTTATTGATGTTAGGAGCTGTGTTTGAGGCTCGCTACATGAATAAAGTTGACCAACATTGGTCTTAGTGCTGACCAAAGAATTCCAGAAGAAACAACGGATCGGGTAGGTTAGAAAACATCTCGGCACCTCCTGCATGGACAGCCTTAGTCGCAAAGTGGATCCCAGTTAAAGGGGTATACAGATTAGGTCTTCCTGGCTATGAAGGGTAATAACAGATAGTGGTACGACCAGGGGGAAGAATTGGTGTGATTCTTCCCCCCTGTCGTGGCGCTTCATTCTCTCCTTTTTTGTTTTGCGATCACAGGTGTCGGACACACCGGTTTGTACAATCAGGAAGCTGCACACCAAGATGACCCTCTACCC